GGCCCGAATCGGTGATTGATGGCCCCGAATCGGTGATTGATGGCCCCAAATCGGTGATTGATTGGCCTGAATCGGTGATTGATTGCCCCGATTCAGTGATTGATGGGCCCGAATCAGTGATTGATGGGCCTGAATCGGTGATTGATGGCCCTGATTCAGTGATTGATGGGCCTGAATTGGTGATTGATGGCCCGATTCGGTGATTGATGGCCCCAAATCGGTGATTGATGGGCCTGAATCGGTGATTGATGGGCCTGATTTGGTGATTGATGGGCCCAAATCGGTGATTGATGGCCCCGATTCGGTGATTGATGGGCCTGAATCGGTGATTGTGGGCCCTGAATTGGTGGCGAGTTGAGGAGGTCCCCAGTGAACCTTCTCCCTCAGAACCAAATTGATGGGCTTGCAAGAAGTGGGTGTGTTTCTACAGGGCCAACCTCCTCAATTAATTGCCCTTCTCGTCTCCTTTCTTACCTCCTCCAGGGAGTGGAGCTCTGTGTCCAATGACTTTGAAAGAGTGGTAAGATGAGCGAAGCTTCTTAATAAGAAGACTTCCATTTGGGCAGTACCTTTCACAATATCAGAATGTCCCCAAGTGTTTTCAGCAGCTTTTGAAGTGTAGCTACTGTTAGAATGTAGGAAGCTCAGAAACCTCTTTGTAGACATCAAAGTCTTAGGCACTGCAATGTGATAAGACCAGAGAGCCTTTCTTTTAGGGACATTGATCGAAGGGTAAACATCAGCCAGAATACTGGGAGAATTCCCTGCTTCTTCAGTGAAATAGTGCCTTGTCTCCTGTGGTGTTCTTTGATGCCACACGCTGAGTTTGAATTTGGGATGGATTGGCTTCAGGCACAGACTTCAAAGTAATATCTCTTTATAATTCATTTATGGGACATGGGTGTTGCTGGCTGCATTCCTAAATGCCCTTGAGGAGGTGATGGTGAACTGCCTTCTTGAACCACTGTAGTCCACATGCTCTGGGTAGACCCACAATGCGCTTAGGGGGTGATTTCCAGGATTTTGACCCTGTGAAACTGAAGGAATGGAGACTATTCTATTCTGTGTATTTCCAAGTCAGGATGCTGAGTGGCTTGGAAGGGAACTTGTAAATGGTGGTGTTCCCAAGTATCTGCTGCTCACATTCTCCTGGATGGAGAGTTCTATGTTCTGTGTTCTATGTTCTTGTTCTAAGGAAGTGGTTGTGAGTTTAGAAGGTGCTACCTAAGGAGCCTTAGTGAATTACTGCAGTGCATCTTGTAGATAGTACACACAGCTGCTACTGAGCCTCTGTGCTGGAGGGAGTGAATGTGCTTTGGCCTGGAGGGTGTCGAGCTTCTTGAGTGTTGTTGGAACTGCACCTATCCAGGCATGTAGGCAGTATTCCATCACAGTCCTGACCTGTGCCCTGAACACACCATGATAGACAATCAAATCTTTGGGTGAGTCAGGATTGGTTACCTCAGACCTATGGCTGCAGCTACTGTTTTTCTGTGCTTAGTCCAGTTCAGTTCAGTTTCAGGTCACTGGATGGAGAGGAGCCTGGACACTGGAACAAGGAAGGTCTATGTTCTTGTTTAGGCCAGGCTGGTGAGGGAACTTGACAGGTCATAGCTACAAAGAGTGGGGCCCCCCAACCCCTCTTCCCCCACCCCAATGGGCACATGATGCCAAGAGAGGACGCACTTTGTCCTTGCCCTCCCCCACTTCCCCAAGCCGTCAGTTTCTCACTGGGCTGCTTGGAAACTTGGTATGTGTTTCCCTCACCACGAGAAAAATCTCAGCGGCAATGGGAGGAGACCCTCAAATGCCTATCAATTGGTCTCTTAAAAGAGCATCTTGAGCCGTGTGGGTATGTGGGCTACCAGACTCTGCCCTTGCTGAGGAGTTGGGGGGAGGGGATAAGCATAACTCCACTACCACAGTGCCCACTCCTACACCACCTCACACCCCATCCACTGAGACCCCTCCCTTCCCTCCACAACAACCAGCGACCCCACCTGGGGGCACAGAGAAGTCAACACAATATAGAACATCGAACAGTACAGCACAGGAACAGGCCCTTCGGTCCACAATGTCGTGCTGAACATGACATCAAATTAAAGAAATCCCTTCTGCCTGCCCTTAGTCCACATCCCTCCATCCCTTGCATATTCTTGTGCTTATCTAAAAATCCCTTAAATGCCTCCATCATATCTGTCTCCTCCAACACCTCTGGAGTGCATTCCAGGCTCCTATCACTCTCTGTGTAAAATCATTCACCCCTCACATCTCCTTTGAACTCCCCCACCTTCACCTTAAATGCATGCCTCCCATTATTAGACATTTCCTTTATTCCTTCACAGGATGAGGGCGTCGCTGGCTGGGCAGCATTTATTGCCCATCCCTAATTGCCCAGAGGGCAGTTAAGAGTCAACCATATTGCTGTGGGTCTGGAGTCACATGTAGGCCAGACTAGGTAAGGATGGCAGTTTCCTTCCCTGAAGGGCATTGGTGAACCAGATGGGTTTTTCCCAACAATTGACAATGGATTCATGGTCATCATTAGATTGTTAACTCCAGATATTTATTAATTTCAAATTCCAACATCTGCCATGGCAGGATTTGAACCTGGGTCCCCAGAGCATTATCTGGATCTCTGGATTGACAGCCCAGCGATAATACCACTAGGCCATTGCCTCCCTTAACTCTGGGAAAAAGATTCTGACTCTCAACTCTATCTATGCATCTCATAACTTTATCGACTTTCATCAAGTCTCCCCTCAGCCTTCCCCGCTCCAGAAAAAAAACCTGAGTTTTTCTAGCCTTTCCTTATAGCTTATACCCTCTAATCTAGGCAGCATCCTTATAAACCTCTTCTGCACCCTTTCTAAAACCTCTACATCCTTCCTGTAATGCCGTGACCAGAATTGAATGCAATACTCTAAATGTGCCACTACAACATAACATCCTGACCCTTGTACTCAATGGAGTTGTTATAACAACTGAAGGAGGACATTCAGCCAATTGTGTATAGTCTAGTGCCAATCTCCTGCCTCTTCCCCATGTCCCTGCACATCATTTCTATCCAAATAACCATCCAATGCCCTCTTGAATGCTTCAACTGAACCTCCACCATATTTCCAGACCGTGCATCCCGTACACTAACTGCTCACTGTGTGAAAAAAAATCATATCACCCAGGCTTCATTTGCCTCATTTCTATATTCTCATTTTTATTTTAGTAAAAGGTTTCTCCTTTAAGGTCAGTTGGCTTTTCTATGAGCTGATTTCCCATGAAAATGGATAAATATTTGCTACATGCTCCGAATTTGCCGGAGAGAAAGATATAGCCAGTAAAAATATAGAAAGCCTGAATGAAGTCCTAAGTTCTGTTGCTGAATAGTCAAGCTGAGAGAGTTTGGGGACCTTTTCTGATGTCGACTTACCAACCTGTGGGAATGTGGAGGGAACTGTTGACAACATCTGTCCTCACTTCATAAATATACAATGGGTGGGAGATCAGGAGGATCAGAGAGACCATACAACAGCAACACATTTCATGACGTTCAGATGTTCCGTCTGGTGGTAAGAGCCAAACTAACCTATTTTTCAAATACCATCTTTGTTTAATGGACTAAAATAAAATCCCCAATTGATACTCCTGCCTTGGGTTTCCAATGCTAGCCGGCTGCATTCCTGGAGGTTTCATCACATGACCAACCACCTTCTTACCATTGGTCAATCCTCCAGAAGCCCTGCCTTCACATGACCAATTGGAAAGGTGACAGACTCTGTGTTGTCCAATTGGATTCATCTGTACCATTAGTGGAAGTGATTTGTTTTCAAGCCACCTCCAATTCTTTCAGAATTAATCATTGAAAACATGAAGAAAACAAGAGAGAAAAAAAACTGTTTCATCTCATGTCCCTATAATTTTCTGTTGGATTAAAGGCAACAGTTGCTATATGCTGACAATGCAGTCTCCATATACTCTGTTACTTCCATAGTCTTCAGTCTATATTCTCTTACCATCATGGATTCTGCCCAGTGGGGCATCTGAGCATTGGGTTTCTTTACTGCTCTCTCAACACTTGAACAGCTACTCTAAGTCTGCAGAATCTCCATCTTTATCTGAGGGTAAATCTTTCCTCACTCTCAGTAAGTCCTGCAAACACTTCACTTCCATTCACCTATACAGAATAATAATTACAGCTCCCTGGTGGCTTCCATTCTCCCTAGCATCTCAATTACATGTGACCGTCAATTTATTATATATTCAGCTTTATTAAATATGCATATTTACACATTCATTCTCCACAATACTGCAGCAGATTCCTCTAGAAATGAACGTTTAATTTCTGACAACTCTAGGAAAATCCTGGAGGCTTAGGAATTGTTAAGGTGTGGTGACACAGGATGGAGACTCAGACTAGAGCATCTATGCTACAGTGTCACATTCTCCTCCATCTCCAGCTCAGCCCCAGCCACACTCTGAGAGCAAGCCCTGGCTAAGAGTGCAGGAATCGACCAGCACACCAACAGAGCCTTGCGTAAAGCCGGCAGGTTGGGAATTTCAAAGGATAGTGTGGTGCAGTAGGGGTTTGAGTAGAGGCCAGCACCTTGGGGATTTTCCAATACACTTTACCAGCAGTGTGAGTATCAGAAATATTTATCTCCTCACTCATACAGTTTCTCACCTGGAGAGGAGAAGGAAGGGGAACATCAACCGGAGTCTCAATCCTATCTAGTCCCTGGTCATCCTTATTTGAAAATAGCTGCAGATGGTGTTGTTTGTGGCTATTCCTGCCAACACGTATAAAACAAAAGCTTTCCTTGTTGGGTATCCATCCAAAATGAAAAGACTCATCTCCTATTATCGGTCACTACCATCCACATGAACCTTCCTCCCTGGTGTAGACGACCATCAGCCCTCTAGAAATGGTCCCAGATCCAGGATGACTCCTTGAGGTGACTGCTGGAGACTGTTGAAGAACATGTAACTCC